ATACAACAATTCATTTGACTAAATAATTAATTGTCAGGTAAAATTAAGATGATGATCATTTTTAGTTCAAGGGTTTTGATTGCATAAAAAAATTATATTGTGCGATAAACTATTTGTTTTTTTTTTTTAAAAAAAAGTAAAGGATAGCGTATTGAGTTATCTCCTTTGATAAATATTGCTGGAAAGCAAGGATGAAAGGGACAAGTTTGAAAAGCACACACACAGTTCCTTAAAAAAAAAAGTTTCCTTTGGGTGACAAGTTGAGGATAATTAAAATTCATTTGATAAAGCTGGTTTTGTTCGATAATATCTTTGGTGATCTTATCGTAATTAATTAATTAATTTTAACTTTAACCAACTTAACTACCCATAAACTATCCATACAGAATGAAGATGGAAGCATAATTAAGAAAATGAAATCTAATTAAAGACTTTGAAATATCTCATTCTCATACGTCCATCATAGATTGGATGCAACTTGTTTGCCTCAGGTCGCTTCAAAGAAATTATTGAAGTTTGTTTTAGCTGGCATGCAAGTTGGTCTATTTGCATGTCGATCCAATCATTAATTATTAATTATTTCATTCTTATTAATTGGTGAACCAGATGCCTCTTCATTGCAACATTGTTTTCCAATCAGTAACAACCAAAAGTGACCAGGAAAGCGAGTGTGGTCCGCATACGCCATAGTTTTTAATTTATTCATTCACATTGGAACATAATTTGTCTTATTAATTACACACACATGATGTTGATCATCATAATTTGACATTATGATACGAAATGTTCTGTCGCTTTGTGAATATATATATATATATAATTAAAATCAAGAGAAAATGGGAAAAAATCATCATCTAAAAATTTTATTGGTAAGAAAGGCCTAATAATTTTTTTATACACAGAAAATACTAGTATTATGCAAAATTTGTAGTACCAGCATTCGGAGTAAAATTTTTGACGGGGATATTTTTTTTTCCAATTGTCCTTTAATATTAAAAAACTAATTTATTTGGTTATTGATTATGGCCCATGTTCTTAATTTTCTATTGCTTATGGAAATTAAGATGATAATATATAATTTTAATTCAAATGCTTGATTGGTTGAATAAAAATTACATTGTGTAACGATGAATTATTGTAAAGTGTCAAATGTCAATTATTCCTCAAATTCATATGTACTATTTTCGATAGGAAATAATTAGGTGGGGGAAAAAGTAGTCGAGGTCCACTAGTACGTAGTTGTGATAGGAGCCAGATTCAGATCATATTAATCAAGTTGCTTATGATAACGATGTTTTGAGGAAATCATGTACACACACACTATTACTAATAATGGCTTTGTGTGGGGACATGAATGAAAGTACCTTTTTTTTTTTTTTCTTTTGTCTGTTTATTTGAGGAAGATATATATATTATCCCCACAAGATAACATGAGGTCTTCAACTCATTGGTCAATATGGGGAGGTCTCAAAATATAGGACACTTTTTTCTGTGGGGTGTGAGGTGGATAATGACTTTACTTGGCGGGGAGCAAATATTCTCCCTATTTTCCTTCAACTTTTCCCTCCATCTAAACATAGCAAAGTTTACATTTAATAATTTCATTAAATGTTGTCTTTATTTTTTCCCCTACTCTTTCTCAGATAACTCTATGGTTCTAGTTGGTATGAGGTATTAAAAATAAGAGACAGAGATTAGGATTACAATTAAAAAAAATCACTAAAAAAATATTTAACATGAGTAGTTACTTGTTATATGGAATTAAACAAATCCATAGAAGTAAATTTGGAGAGTAATATTTTTTCCCATGATATTTTTTAATCCCACATACATTGGTTTGTCCAATCTCATGTGATAAACAATCTCTTGTGTTAAATATTCTTTTAATAGATTTTGTTAATCCCAATCCTAATACTCGTTTGTTATTTTTAATGCTTCATACCAAACAGGACTTATAGTATTTGAAGTATTTCTTACTAGCACAACTCCAATCCAAATATTGTTGAAAAAATGTTGATACGTTATACGACTGCATGTATCTCAAATATTTACTCTTCCGGTCCTTAATATAGGACCTAATTGTTAAGTTAGTTATGGTCCTAAATATAAGACCAATTTCTCATATTTATCAATTTTCTCTAAATTACCCCTATAGATACTCCCTTAACCATAATCAAGTAGAAGAGGGAGATGGGGCATTAAGAAGGATTATTATGGTATTTTAAGAAAAACTTATCACATTTCTTATAATTAACTAATTTATCTGGCTTCCTAAATCTAATCAAATTAGTTAAATGGGTCCTATATTAAAGACTGGAAGAGTACCATTTATAGAAAATTAAAATGGAATGTGTATTTAGGACATCATACCAGCCCTACCAATAACTTTATTGTTTAATTAAGTGATTAATTAATTGTTGAGCGTATTTTATATCTCAATAAGATCAATCCTGAAAATTTTGATATGGGGGCTTGCATGTTAATTTGAAAATAGTTGTGGGACTAGCACATGAAAAGGAGGGGGCATGTTATTTATTACTAGTCAATCTCACGTGGTTTTTACTTTTTTGCTTTGATAGCCTAATAGAAACAAATCAAAGCAGGCATCTCAGTCCCAAAAACAAAAAGCAGGCATCATTATCATCATATCATCTTTAATAATTGCGTTATGACCCCATCCTCCTCTAATTGCTCCCCTTCTTTTATAATTTTCTTCCCACTTCTTGACCTACAAAAAGGAGTTTCTGATTATAATCCTCTCCGCATGCACAATATCTTACTCAGAAAATGAAGAAAAAAGAAAACCATAAAAAAGTATTATTCATCCTTCGGTTTAGAATGATGAGAGAAAACAGAAAAATATATGAGCACGTATATATTAAGAAAATTAACATCTATTTAGAATCCACATATTAATTAATTCTATAGCTATATATATATATATATATATATATCAATGAATATTATCAGGACAACACATAATTGTGAACAGGATGTGAGGCTAATTCAAAAGATCGAAAGGCTTAACTATCTTAAATATTAACACGTGGGACAGCCATGCAACATAATTGCTTAGCAAGAACAAAGTTGTGTGGAATATTAATTAATAACATTACTTGAAATAGAGTCTCCGATGAGTAATTTTTAAACCCCACGAACTCGGCCGCCGGGAACCAAACCACATGGAGGAGTTTGATTTTTAAGTTTTTAACTGCGTGGGAAGTCCTAATCCTGCGGAGCTAATGACTAATTAATTAGCATCTAATATAAATATTAATACTCCTCTGGTCCTTAATATACTCATCTATTTCTTAATATAAGACCTATTTAACTAATTTGATTAGATTAAGGAAGTTAGGTAAGTTAGTTAATTATAAGAAATGTAACATGTTTTTCCTAAAATACTATAATCATCTTTCTTAATACTTTCTCTTCCTCTTCTACTTGATTATGACTGAGGGAGTATCCATAGGAGTAATTTAGAAAAAATTGATAAATATGACAAATGGGTCTTTTATTTAGGACCAAAATTAACTCAACAATTGGGTTCTATATTAAGGACCGGAGGAGTATGATATAATTACTGAGTTAATATTGATCCTAAATATAAGATCTATTTATCACATTTATCAGTTTTTTTTAAGTTATCCTTACCGGTACTCTCTCAACTATGATTAAGTATGAGGGGGAGGGAGAATATTAAGAAAAATTATTATGGTATTTTAGAAAAAAATATGTCATATTTCTTATAATTAACTAGCTTTCCTAACTTTCATAATCTAATTAAATTATTTAAATAGGTATTATATCAAAAATAGGAAAAATACAAAATTAAAGAGTCAACTGTGTTTTTGGGAGAGTGAGTTGTTTCGCTTCTCTCAACTCCAGGCTGGTCTCACTTTGTTTATGCCATCCTAGAAATAGAATACTACTCGTATATTGGTTTCCCTTGTCCCCCAATTAATTAATCTTTCTTCATATATTTATATTTATATTAAATTCTCATCTCAATAATATTTATTACTCTATTTTTTATTCACTCATCGCGCTTCATGCAGGCCACGAGTGATGCAACTTTTTCAATTGAACCTCTATTCTAACACTACTGCATCCGCTTCAAATAATATAATGTAAGGTCTGTTTTAGAATTTTCATGTTTTAATATTACTATAAGACACTTTATAAATTTTTAAGAATAATTACTGTATTTTTTGGGGTCTATAATGCCTCTATAAAAGTATATTAAAATTAATTACCATGGTCAATTCTTAATGTATCATTTCAGTCCTTATTATAAATTACTTGTAACATTCTCATATATTTAGGTCTAAGGAATATATTAAATTGATAATTTTTTTAATTTATTCTTATTAAGGTTCTGTCTCTTTTTATAGTTACTAGTCATTTGTGCAACTCTCTCATCTTTCTTTCCATTCAACAAAAATTAGATATGAATAAAATTAGAAAATGATCATAAAATACCTTACAAGTAATTTATAATAAGGTCTAACTATTTTTCTTCGCAGGTGCGCTATGTAAAAATATATTATATTCATAATGAAGGTATCAATAATTTTATCATTGGATGTAAAAATTTTCAGTTTTATGAACTGTTTAGAATAGCTTATAAATAACTTTTTATTAGTGATTTACAAGATATTGCCAATCCAACTAGCTCCTTAAGCAAGCTGACCGGGCTGTTAGCCCGGACAATAAGAACTTTTATTGGGCTCTCAGGTGTTTTTAATGGGCCAATACAAATGGCCAGAGAGTTTAGACCAATCCAAAATACAATTAGGCCTTTTTGGTCCATAGGGCCTCATTTCCTGTATGAAGGCGATTGGGCCTTTGAGGTTTGTCCAGGCAATTTTTTTCATGGGAGAATGGTTTGGTCATCGTTAGGTTTTCCCAAAAAAAAAGAAGAAGAAATTGAAAATTTCTATTTACACTATTTTTCCTCCTTCCGGAAAATTAAAAATCATCTTACGAATCACGGCACAGAGAAGCGGCAGAAGCGACCCTCCCGTGATTCAATCTCTGCGCGCAATTCTCTCCCATGGCTTTTCCGGTGCCAGGCGAGGTAAGCGATTACACTTATCTTTTTTATATACCTTTCGGTTTTAAAAGCCATTATTTGATATCGGAGGAATTTTTTCTACAATTCCAGATATATCTATTCTTTCTTGATGATCATATTAAACGAAAATAGAGTGAACTCCTCTTCGTGGTTGGTGGTGATAATTCATTAGATTGTAATCGGGAGTGTCTGGGAATTAATCTTCCTGTTGTTCTCAAACTAGTTTTGCGGTGGAAGGGTGTATTATCTTTCATGGATCTTTCCCCTGAAAACTTTCAGAGGGCACAGTAATAGACATCATTGGTTGATTGTATTTGCCACTTCATTAAAGAAGGAAAAGAAGTGCTGCTGCAAGTTCCTTAGGTCGTAGCGGGAAGTATGATCAGCATGTTTGAAACAGCTAAGAAAGAGAGCATCCTATGCATTTTGATTGCTAGAGGAAAGGAGAAAAATAAAATGATTCAAAGGTTGGCAATAACATTTAATGCCCATTCAAACCTCGAATTATAAACTCTTGGAGCACCATATGAAAACTTGACCGTCTCATATGTAATATATTGATTTGTTTTCTGGAAGGCATGGCATGATGTAAAGGTCGGTCATGCTCATAACTGATTTGACCAAATTGTGTTGTGAGTGCAACTGCTTTCTTACGTAGGGTTATATGTGCTAAAATGTTCTTACTCTGACATCTAGCGTTGGTTTTTTTCTTACATAGGTTGGGTTGCAACTGCTCCTCTCCCCTCTTGGTTCTAAAATTGTTCTTCGCACTGCATGGTATGCATATATTTGGAGATTTTTACCTCAAAATGTATCATGTTACCTCTCCTTTTGAAATTTTTTGTCTTTGTGGTGTTTAGTATTGAATTTTGCAGAGAAAGTATTGTTTAGGTTGTCCAGGTTCTTAATCAAACTGTGATGGCTGATAAGGATTTTATTCTCCTTTTTCAGAAATTAGATCCATAACTATATTCACTAATTTTGTTTTTACATGGTTTTATAGCTGTTCTGTGGGGCTTGCGCTTCCTGTTTACTCTACATTTAAAGCTATTGAGAACAAAGATCAAAATGAGCAACAAAGGTGGCTGACTTACTGGGCAGGTTATAATTTGCGTTCAGCATCATTTTCATTATTAAGTTCCTTGTTGATTTGTCCATTTATTTGGTGCATCAATTGGATGTACTTGTTTTCCCCTACATTTCACGATCTCCTGCATTCCCCACGCCTCTTGCAAGAAAGATGGCATCTGATCAATAATTGTGTTCCTGACCAGTTTCATTGTTCTCCGAAGTCCTTGGTTATCAATGCCTTTGTGATATAGAATAAACGTCTTGAAACAAGTTTATTCACTTTTCCTTTAACGTCGCTCAACTTCTGCTGAATCACTTGCGGAACTATTTTGAAGTTATCATAGAATATTTACACACTATTCAAAGCTTTTACTTCCTTGTTGTTTGATTTTGATTTCCTGGTACATTTGAGCAATCATATGTAGAGGACTACAGAGTAAATAGAAAATGGTTTGTTGTGCAAATTTATTATCGTCATGCAGAAGCAGACCTTTAGCTTCCTGAAGTTGAATTTTCCTACATGCTTTTCGTGTTGACTTTTGATGATTGTGATAGCTATATACTGCCTCTTTTTAATATGGACTTATCTCTATTGTGATTTGCAGCTTATGGATCTTTTAGCATAGCAGAAATATTTGCAGAAAAAGTACTTTGCTGGTAATAGTCAAGTTCTGCCTGCACTAAGTGCATATTTCATCCTGTGAAATTAAATTTTTTTACTATACTTCAGTCCAATTCTAATTATTTTATTACAATACCTCCATTAACCTAAGTACTCTTTTTTGTTACCAAAATATCCTTTTCAAAATCTATTTGATATCTTGGGAGAGTTGATCTGGTTCACTGGCAAATCAAGTTTGAACATGTACATTGAAGAGTCTTGCAGAGGTGGAAATTTTTTATTTGCAACAATTAATTATAAACTAATTAGTTGTGTAAAAGAGAAAAAAGGAAATACTTCAAACCATCTTTTCATGCAGGAGGTATCAGTTGTAAGGCTTTATTAAATTCAATGAAAATAGAATAAAATTCCTTTTTCATTCTTACCTACGCATGCTTTGAAATAATTTGGGGAGGAACAATGATGACAGCATACTTTTTCATATTTTGAAATAATTTCTTGCGAAAGTTTCAATATGTATTTAGGCTAATGGAGGATATTTTAGTAAAAAATCAACAAAATTATACTTAGGTATATGTTATGAAAATAGGGATCTTCCTGTAACTTCAATAAAACTAAGGGCAGGAAAGCGTAATCTGCTCTATTTGCTTGCTTTGTTTCATTTGACATTATACAAGAGATATTTCGATCTGATTAGGCTGCTGTGCTGTGTTTCATCAGGATCCCACTTTATTACCATATGAAATTTGCATTTCTTGTTTGGCTTCAGCTTCCCACTCTCAATGTAAGCTCTCTAGATAATCTTTACTATACTGGTTTTGATGATTGTTTGCCACAATGTTTAATTGATGTGACATTAGAGATTAATAATAAGTGAATAAGCAAATCTTACTATTGCTGTTCAACAGGGAGCGAGACAACTGTATGAGAGTCACATGCGTCCATTTTTGCTGAAGCATCAAGCTAGAATGGATCAGGTTATGGAATTTTTATATGGTGAAATGGTGAGAGTTCATTTCATTTCATTATTGGTGGAAATGCAGTGCTTTATCTTAGTCTTCTTTTCCAATTGCCATTGAAAATTAGGGTGCTATACTGCTTTTGATGATTGTTTATCCTAGTCTTGTGTTCACCACACCTCGCAATACTTAATACTGAGCTAATTAAGTGGTTTTGGCTCGCCAAATTGGCATCTCTAGTGTAATAGGCTTTACTCGAAGATATGCTCCCTTTTTCCTTGCTGCTTATAGCATATCAGTATATAGACCTGTACCGATCAGTTCTTGTTGACATTGCAGACTAAATTTATTAGTGCACACCAAGCTGAATTTCTGTTCGCAAGGTCACTTGTAACAAAAGCTGTAGTTACAGGTATGCATGCAAGCTCCCTCTGAATTTGCCATCTTTCTTCTCTCTATTGCATAAGTGCTTATCCGGAGTTCTCTATCTTGAAGCTTTTGTATAACGAATTGCCCAGTTTGGCGCATTAGGGCTACGGTTTTTTGTTGTTGAAATACTTTGGTTGTAATTGTAGCGTTCATCAGCTAATTAATCCGTAGGCTTAATTGCTCATTTCATTGTTTTTTGTACCAGCTAGTGAAATGATTAGGCCTCCCGTTCGGCCAGTTGGAAGGCAAGAAAATCGAAGCCTGAAGAGGGAGATTGAGAATTCAGAATCAGAAGACGATTAAGGCATTTCTCTATAGACAGCTTAGGTGAGAAAATCAAAGTGTAAGATTGCTTGTGGGGTTGAGTTTTCAGTCTCTTTTTTCTGATTTTTCTTTTTTGTGATTCTCGAGCTTCTACTCCGCTGCAGTATATAAGAAGACGGACATGATGAAATATTTAGTGATGTACATAATAATCGGAACAAGTGTTCGATGTTAGGTGTTATCATTATTTGTTTTGTTGCGTCAATGCCCTTCCACAGAGCCAGCCACTTAACTAAGAAAGGGCGTGCCTAGTTTTTTGTTTTGACCAAAAAGGCCACGCCGCCACCCCTAGTTCTAAGTATTCAAAGTTCAAAATGCCTTACTGATCTAGAGATTAAATATTATGGACCAAATTTACTCTTTGTTCGGTTAGTTTGTCGGCCAACGGAATAGCTACAAGTGTATGGCTTCTTATTAAATTATAATAATTTTTACGCAGGCACGAAATATTGAAATGAAAAGAAGTGTCTTAATCAGAAAATGGGCAGAAGTTTCTCACGTTCAAAATATTTAAATTAAAAAATTGGACAGAGCCTGATTAAAACTTTGAATGAAAAAAAGAAGGAAATAAAGAAAGGGGATTTGAAATAAAGAATCAAAGCATGGAGTTACCAATTGGCCTCATCAAACTTTGCCAATTTTTGAAAAAAATTACAGAATCATCTCCCATTTTAATTTAATGATACTTGAATTACTGTAATTAATTAGCTCTATGCCATGACAAATAAGATCAATTACTAAATACTTATACAACAAAAGCAAGAAAGGAATATTTGGTTTTTAACTACTTTTTTACCGCTGATCTAGTGATCTTTGCTTTAATCTGTTGAAAATGAATTCTATCTTTTAACTTTATTCCCGTCCATTTTTTGGCCTAATAACTTTATTCCTGTCTAATTGAGCGATTCTGCCTTCTTCTTGTTCAAAAAACACAATCTTTCTTATGTGTCATACTGGATCAAGCACTCTTATATTTTATGTTCAATATTTAAGATTAAATGGTTAAGATGAAATATAAACATTAAATTTTATTAAGTCAATGTTTTTCAAAATAAATAGACAACTTAATTACTTAAAAATAAAATGGAAATTTTGGTTTTGAATTTAATAGTTAAACCTTTCATAAAGCGTAACTTAGAGAAAATTAGGAGAAAGGCAACTAGAGAGAAAAACAGGAGGAGAAATAAGTTTTTCCCTACTTAGATAAGAGCATAAGACAGAAAACGAGGGAGGAAGAAAAAGTGGTGGGGGGATAAAGTGAGACTCATGTCTCATTTAGAGAGATTTGGGGGAGGAAAACAAAATTTTCGTGATTGCCCCTTCTTTGGTGCTTTTTTGAGTTCTTCCCCTCCATATTTTATTTTGTATTGTATTTAAAAAAATTTAAAAGTTATTCACTTTTATTTTTATCTTAAAACAATATTTTTATTAAATAATTTGGTTTTAAAATATAATCATATGAAAACATATATAAACCAAATAACTTGATTTTAAATTATTGCCTAAAGTATACATTTGATCCTTTAACTTTATACAATATTTTAATTTGGTCCTTTAATTTTAAAAAGTGGTCTTTTAACCCTAAAATCATTAGGTTTTTTTTTGTAACAATCACGAATGTTTGGAAATTAAACTTAATATGTTATATTTGAAAATATTTTATCAACACCTAAGATCTTAATGTCATCATTTTTTTTAAAAAAAATTAAACTTAAAGGACTAAAAGTATACTTTTTAAAGTTAAGGGATCAAATTGAAACCTTATACAAAGTTAAAAGATGAAATATCTACTTTAGCCTAAATTATTTGATGATGCTAATGTTAGTAAAATTTTCCATTACAATATTTGATTTGATTTAATTTTAAATATGATATATTTTGATAAGAATATTTTAGTAATTTAGATATTTACTTATTTTCTTTCCTCTTTATTTTTTTCTCTCTATCCAAGCAAGATGGATGATAACATTTTCTTTCCAATTTTTTCTTCTCTCTATTTTTTCTCTTCATATTTTCCTTCCTCCTAACTTTCCTTTTCAGCATAAGATAATAAATCAAACTAAAAAGGTAATCAGAAAATAGAGATGGACAATAACAACTCCAGCCTAATCTTAGTAGTACACGTAATAAAAGAATAAAATTAAAATGAAAGTAAAATTATACGCAAGTATCACGAAGTTATGTACAAATAACTTTCCCAAACTCTCAAGCAGGGGAAAAAAAGCTTCTCAAACTCTAAAAGATTATAAAGAATCCCATAAATTTTTATCTTTATACAAATGACTCTTTTATTAGTAATTTTTCTTATTATTTATCTGCACATATATTAAAATTTAAAGGACTTATATGTATGTAATTTAAATTTTACAGTTTGAGGAGATTATATATAAATATATATATAATTTAAGGGGCATATAATTTATGGTTGAGACTTACCTATACATAGCTAAAAGTTTAGGTGTGTTTTTTAATTGTTTCTCTTAAGTTTTAAAAGATTAAAACAATTATTTGTACCTAGTTCAAAATTTAGAAAAGTTTTATGTAGTTTACCTTAAAATAAAAAACAAAACCATAATATAGCCATAATATAAGTTTATGAGTACTTAAATAAAAGTTGGTTCATTAAATATTTAAATACGTAAAAGGTTGTAATATTTTCTCAAAGTACTTTTATTAAAAGTTAAATACTACATTAATTATTCATGATATTTGATAATGGCAAAATATAAAAGAAAAATAAATAAATACTCTGGATACTATCTAAGCAAACTTATATTTCTTTTTGGGACTTATTAGAGGAATTTTTTTCGTGGACCTTTAGGATTGGAGGAATAATTAAAAGTATTACTACCTGCTGTCCTTAATATAAGATTCTGTTTGATTTTTATTTTGGTCCTAAATATAAGACCAAATCCAATTTGTCTATCATATTTATACATTTTTTTCAAAATAGTCCTTCTAACAATGATAATTCTAGTCAATACACTTGATTAGTAAGGATATTTTAGAAAAAACAACACATATTTAGGACAAATAACTAACTCAACTTACTTCCTTAATCTCTTCAAATTAGTCAATTGGCTCTTATAATTAGGACCGGAGGTAGTAAAAAAAAACCAGTAACTCCCTCCCACGCATCTTATTTATGTTTGCTGGTCAAAAAAGAAAAAAAAAACAAGCATCATATTTATGTTTATGATTCCCATTTCCCGTATATGGGAAACAGGGAAAGTACCATGATTTTCTTTCCGGCCGGCCAAAAAAAAAAAATTCCTTTTCTTTCCTCATTCGGGATCAATGGCCATTTGCCTACCTGCTACTTCCTCTTTCAAAATTTGTTTAATTGTTTGTATTTTCTGCATTCCCACCATTCATTCACTCAGGAAGTTCTTCATAATTCAGTGAACCTTAATTCTTCCATTATTGTCTCCATCAAAGCTCTGATCAGAGCTCAATTGTTAGACGACGGTCGCTGTGGGAATCAGCTTATAATGCCTTCGACACATCCTTGATTCTTCCGTTCTTCAATCCTGAATCCGAACCTCAGATTGAAATAGACTTAAAGTGGAAGAGACGCCGTCATGATTGGCCGGAGAGAAGGGCCATTGATGAGGAACAATACTCAGTCTCTGCGCAAATCAAGAGTCTTAATCGCTGTAGCGATCGGAGTCGTTATTGGTTGTGTCTTCGCTTTCTTATTCCCCAATAGGCTCTTCGTTTTGAACAATGCCCCTAATCGCAGTCACGGTACCGCAGTATATGAGACCCAGGTTCGGCATTTATAATGAATGCAGCCTCTGTTTTTCTTTTTCTTTTTCGAACTTTATGGTTATCTGATTCTTCAATATCTTCTCTTCAATGATTTTCTTTGTATTAACATTGTCACCATCATCTGAGGTCCCTTGGATGACAAACGGAGATGTTAAGCATTGACTGTAAATTACTCTGTTCTGACTAATTGTTGCTGTATCAATATTGTGAATTGTCAATCTTGCTGATTCTGATCCTCATTAATTCTATTTCGGATTCCTCTGTCAGGCCTACTTAGTTTTACTCTCAATATTAGTAATCACTTGAAAATGAAAAGAAAAAAACTGGATTGGTTGTTATTTCTGAAGAATAACTTTGGAGTCTAGACGTCGTGTTAAATATAGTTGATGGCTGGAGCTAATATTTTAAAGCAGACCACACATGTTCAAGAGTTAATCGTGGTTCGCTTATATATATACTTTCTTTCTGTGCCTTGGTGTTTTATAGTTTTCTATGTGGTTTTGGTGTGAAATGGAGTTCTGCGTTATATATGTTTTGTATGGCACAAAGAGTGCTCCATAGCATTACGAGCTTCAAATTTACAATGGTTAATTTGGCAGACAAATTCAGCAGCGTGTGAATCATCAGACCGGATCAGCATGTTGAAATCAGAGTTAGTTGCGGCATCAGAGAAAAATTCTGAGCTGAAGAAACAAGTAAGGGAATTGACCGAAAGGCTTCGGCTTGCAGAGCAAGGGAAAGATCAGGCTCATAAGCAGTTTCTTACATTGGGTAAACAGCGTAAAGCTGGGCCTTTTGGTACTGTCAAGGGATTAAGAACCAACCCTACGGTAGTTCCTGATAAATCCGTGAACCCAAGATTGGCAAAGATATTAGAGAAAGTTGCAGTTCAAAGAGAACTTATAGTGGCAGTTGCAAACTCCAATGTGATGGAAATGCTGGAGGTCTGGTTTGCCAACATTAAGAGAGTTGGTATACCCAATTATCTTGTGGTTGCTCTGGATGAAGAAACTGCCAAGTTTTGTGAATCAAGTCAAGTTCCAGTGTACAAGAGAGACCCCGATGAAAATATTGATTCTATTGGAAGAACTGGAAGCAATCATGCTGTTTCTGGGCTTAAATTTCGTATCCTAAGAGAATTTCTACAGTTGGGGTATAGTGTTCTTCTGTCAGATGTTGACATTGTATATTTACAGGACCCTTTTGATCATCTGTTCCGAGATTCAGATGTAGAGTCCATGAGCGATGGTCATGATAACATGACAGCTTACGGATTTAATCATGTGTTCGATGAACCTGCAATGGGTTGGGCGAGATATGCTCATACTATGAGGATATGGGTTTACAATTCTGGTTTCTTCTATATCAGACCAACAATCCCTTCAATTGAGCTTTTGGATCGTGTGGCAATTCGACTTTCCATGGCGCCAAATTCTTGGGACCAAGCTGTTTTCAATGAGGAACTGTTTAAACCGTCATATCCTGGCTATATTGGGCTTCATGCGGCCAGAAGAACTATGGATATATATCTCTTTATGAACAGCAAGGTTCTGTTCAAGACTGTGAGGAATGATGCTAAACTCAGCAAAATTAAACCAGTGATTATTCATGTAAATTATCACCCAGACAAGCTTCCCCGAATGAGAGCAATAGTTGAATACTATGTCAATGGAAAGCAAGATGCTCTAAAGCCTTTTCCTGAAGGTTCTGAATGGTGATATTACTTTTCCGCAGGTTAGGCACTCTCATTTCATGCCAATGGTCTAAAGGAGATATTGTTTTTAAGCAATATTCTTTTCAATCTTCTCCACGCACCACGTCCATTTTGGTTATTTAAGGTTCTCTTAAACATAATAGTTCGGTCCTCTCACTCATTGCCCACACACACACACACACACACACACACACACACACATGTATGTGTCGGCTACCACGTCTAAGACTAATTACGAACGGCCGCAAAAAAAGAGAGAGAGAGAGACTAATTACGAATGTTTTTTTTTTTTTAGTGATTTTGAACTTATTTACTTATGTCTAATTCTGTATTGAGATGCAGTTTTTTAAAAACAAAGAAAAAATCTTTTTCCATCCCGGCCCTTACACACAGTATTGGCATTTGCCAAAAATATTTCTACCAATCAAATTTTTTTTAAAAAAAATTACGCAATACAGAGGATAAACTTTTAAAGAATTGAGACTTACTATAGGCAGTCTTTAAATCAAATGTGTAACCCATAGCCATATAATGTTTTTTTTTCAGATAAAGTACACATCAATTAAGTCATATGGATGTGGATTTAGAAATGCTCCGCGTATAAAAGGGTCAATTGATATAATTGAAAATCGCGAATAATGCCATTCCTATATTGATATTGGTGATTTTCATATTGTTTATGATTATTACTGCCTCCGGTCCTTAATATAAGATCCTATTTGACTTTTATTTTAGTCTTAAATATAATACCCCAATGCACTTTATCTTTTATATTTATACATTTTTTTCTAAGGTAGTCCTTCTAATAATTATAGTCCTAACTAATATAATTAATTAGTAAAGATATTTAAAAAACAACAACACCTATTTATTACAAATAACTAACCTAACTTCTTTTTTTAATCTCATCAAATTAATCAATTGAGTTTTATAATTAGAACCAGAACTAGTATTTAGTAATTTCTATTTTCTAATTTTTAAAAATTATTACTCGTTACATTTCATTTCATTTTATGTACCGTACCAAACAAATATTCCGGAATGAAGAGACCTCGAGCTCGTCGTGGTCTAAACCTTGATGATTTTTGTTGACCCCATTTATCCAGATTATCTCTGACTCCTCAAAGTTCCGATAGTGGGATTTCGTTCACAATAACGTTATTTTGAGAGACTGTATAACTTAAAACGACTTAAATAGAGTTCAAATTGGCTTCTAATGTCAAATGAAGAATTCTAGAAAGTTATTAGATTGCTTCGTGAGCTGTTATGTTAGCTTCTACCATCAACCGAGTTAAGCAGACTTAGTGGCTACGAAATCAGCAAACGGTTGTGGCTAAACATCTCAACGAGTTACTCCGCCAGGCCTCATGGCTATAAGATCGGCAATTGATTCTATCCCATACATCTTGGTGATCTCTTCCTGTTAATACGCCAAACCAATGACTAATATCAGAGATTAGCTTGCAGAAGTCAAAAGAGTAACAAAAACTTGTAAATTTTCAATTTTTCAGTCTTCTGATCCTTAAGAATAGTTTCTGAATTTGGTCCTTGTGAATAATTTTCCAAATAAAAAGTGAACCTCATTGTTAAGAAAGTGGACCAAATTGGCGAGGGGGCGTCCAGATTACAGATCTGTTAAACATCCATATAGCAAATCGTGAACTCTTAAAAGAAAATTTCGAGCACCTGGTGTAATGGGATTTTTGGCTACGGAAGCAAGTTGTAAATGTAACTCGGAACTCTAAATAGTTAAAAAGGGATGAAATCTATCCTCATTTCCGTCTTTTCCACACGGAAACAAAATGAATCCCACTGACAGAGCAAATAGAATCAAGTTACGGTTGCATATTGGTGTTTCATGCACGTTGAATGCTCAATTCGCGCAAATAAGACAAGAACACTCTGATTTTCTGGCAACAAGCAACCCCAGGGTGCTTGAAAGAATAGCTTTTCTTTACGGAAAGAATGATAGAAAGGGAGGCATGGCCTTATGTACTTCAATCATATTGAGAATCACTAGTTAATGAGCGAATGACTAACAGATGTGGTTTAGATGGCACACCTCTATGTAGTCGTTTTCATTATTGAGCTCTAGACAGTCTTCAGAAAGGCTCACAAGCTTGTCCTTCAGCAAGGAATTCTTCTTCACAAGATCATCCATGATTTTACGTAGCTCATCACATTCTTGCTGTCAAGAAATAGAAATAATAAGTTATCTAATGGAACATCGGCAATAAGAGGATGGAGAGTGTTTCAATGAAAATATAATCTATTTCCAGAAGGAAACAGAGAGAAGCACAGCTAAAGCAACCACTTCTAAAGTAGTCATCCAGAATGAGCTTTTGTTTGCCTATCTAGTGAACTACTTGTGAATCCATCATGTTCTCAATAAAATAGAAACGTTTCAGCGGTTCTAGATGCATGAAGTTGACTAGGTTGAACTTACAAGTTCATTCTTCAGAAAAATAACTTCACTGCTGCGGCTAGAGCTCTAAATCATTGTCAATAAAGAAAATGAAAAATAGCTTGGCATTTTGATCAATTACCCAATACAGAGTATGGCATAATTTTTTATTGAAAAAGTTGACTTTCAAGAGTATATGTGATGTATGTGTCTATACAAATAAAGCCACTTCCATCAATATTTAACACATATGCATACCTGCCTACGCATCCTTGATCTCCTGGCTGATTCCCTATTTAATTGCCTTTTTCTTTCTTTTCTTATTTCATCTTCTTCCTGCCACAACATATACAGCTCAGCAGGAAATAAAAAAGCATTCTGAGACTTAAAAAAAAAAAGAGGGGAAAAAAAGAGCAATCTGACCAAGAGATCCCATTAATGCCAAGTATTCACCATCAAGGCAGTAAGACCATAAAAGTTTATGGTAACAGTTAAAAGTCAATAATAAATGACGTAAACCAGAGAAGTTTGTAGTACCAGTTTTGCAAGTCCATGAATTGTCCCAGATGTATTGAGGTTGGTTTCTGAATTCAGATTTGGTTCACTTGAATTCACCGCAAATTGCTGTGACGCAGATTCTTTGTTCACGTGAATTGCATTACCATTTTCTATTCTAGCCCCATTCTGTGTAAGGTCCCCTGTTCAAATTTCATGATCATCAGATATGTATTCTGATATTTCAATGACAAAAAAAAAAAAATGCATCAATTTCAAACATACTATTTGCAAGCATCATGTTACATTGCTGCTCTCTACTTGAAGGGAAACCCTGCAGAAGAGGGATAGCATTAAACCTTCTGGTTAAGATATTCTAAAAATCTTGAACTATACAGCAGAATGGCCAATTTTTCATACTACATTTGAAAGTCTATCATAATTCAAAACTGGTGATGGGTAATATATTACTTGTTCAGAGGTATGTTCAATTTAAATACGTAATAAGTTTCACATACATTGTCAGTGTCATGGCCTTCATCTGACGATCCCATGCTTCCATTTGTAGCACTATAAACAGATAATTTGCAATTAAGTTTGGAAAAATGTGATGAGGACGCTTGGTGAATAAGGCAAACAGTACCTCCATGTCCCTCTATCTTGCTCATTTTTGGAAATTGATGATTCATTTCCATTTTCTCTTAATTCCTTAAGGACAGAACTTCTAGGTTGTAAGTTCCCTTCACATGCTTTTGTCAAATCCACGTTCTCTCCACTGAAAGTCCTTTGTACTTTATCTGAAAATGTTGAAGCAGAGCCCTGAGCAGAATGAAAAACTAACTTTGTCATATGCATTACTCAACGAATATAAGCAGATAAACTTTCCAGGAAAATGGAATTCAAGTAATGGTTAATGCCAAATTTCGTCTGTTAGCATAAAGAAAAGGGGGGAAACAATAATTCTAAAGCAACTGGCCATGTGAATTTCATTAAAATAGAAAAAATATAGAAAGCATAATAACATGGAATATTTAGCAAGTTACCCCGGAAACAATTGGATGATCCTTGAGCCCGCTGGGATCATGCAGAGGGTCATATTTAAGGGGACTGCAGAAAGTCTGCACCAGATGATTAAAAACAATGAAAAAGCAATCTCATGATTTGCTCCTTCATAATAATCAAAGCAAGCAATTTGCAGAAAGAATCATGAATAAGCAAATTACTACCTGGTTTGGCCAAATGTGGGGATAATAGTAAGAACCGGCTGCAGCTGCATGTGAATTTATAATAGGTGTTGGTGCAGGCATAGGATAATGATATCCCTATTTCAAAGTCGTTCAGAGTGTTAATAGTTTCCACATGAGAAGCACAGACATACAGGAACCAAATATCGATATAAACCCATGCAAATAAATAAATACATAAATTTTTGAGACCTGTATAGAAGTATACCAAAGCGGCTGCAAAGGTTTGTTTTCAGTTTCCTGTCATAAAATATGAATTGAAACGAAGAAAAAAAGGTAGAGAACATAAGAATTAGAAATCATCATATTGCAGGCAGAGAAATTTAAATGAGACAATTCAAAGCAATTTACGGACATCCTGAACCACCATAGTTTTGCTGGGTTTAGTACTTGTGTTGGATTCTTCTGTCCCCATCAGAGCTCAAAATTCACATGAACTCTGTACCGCCAATATGACTGATTTCTTTTTGAATCTAACGCCTAGAGAATGAGAGATAGTTAGAAGAAAGTAAACTATGCAAGAGAGAATGAAAAGAAAAAGAACAAACTAAAATGAGGAAAAAATTAAAATCCACATTTAGCAAAGAAGAAAGGCAGTCACATTGAATTGCCTCTACCATTCCTTTCCGAGTGTGTTTTCCTACATGGGCAAAATTAAGGAGTCCGGCTTAAAGCTTGCATTGGGATTAATCGTTTCCGAGAAGTGGTTAGCATAGTCATATATCTGTTAGCCTTTCCTGAATGGATTTTGAAGGCTGATGGTCATGTATGATGTCCCAAAACTTGTTTAGGGGCGAATGTAATGTAATGTCCTTCCAGTTAATCTAGTGCGGCCAAATATAAACAAAGGAAGTGATAGAATATGAGAAAAGACACTTTGCCAACACTACTCAGAACAAGTTAACGAGAAGGAAGGTCACATTCTCAAATATTTCTAAAAGAATGGTTATCTAACGCCCACTGATAAGTATTTTGCAGCTCTGAAATGTGTGTAAAATGATAAATCAATTACATGAATTAACTGACAGAAAACACAAAAATCCAGATTCATATGTTTAGAAAAGTAAAGTTCAGCCTACCTAGTATTTCGGTCCAAAAAAAAAAACGAAAGAGCCTGCTTAGTATGGATAAGCCTTTCTGAATTGTGCAGCAGAAACGTAAGAGGCAAAATTGGAAATATCAATAACTTGGAGTAACTGGCGATAAAACGAATTAGAAGAGAAGCTAGGAAGTAGTAAATCTAGGGATCTCACCTAGTTCACAACTTGAGAGAGAAAGAAAGAAGAAGGGCATACAAAGAGGGAGGGAGAAAAGTGAATAGATTAGAAACCTGGGTGGCGCGAAAGAGAAGTTAGGCACAACTTTGACAAATGGCCATTCCTCGTCTTCACATGCCATCTGATATAAGCCTACTCATTACTATGCCTAATGAATAACGACCCACGGGTTTGAAAACGAGATATATAATTTGGCCCAAAAGAAAAGAAAAGGGAAAAAGACAAAAAATTCAAAAAATGACAAATTAACTTGGGAATGACCAGAACGTCTGCTAAATTTGCAAAATGCCATTTTGGTCATATGAGACCAAATTGATATTATCATGTCAAATAAAAAGACTAAATTGCCCTTCGTTTTATTTATTGTTTCTAAAATATCAAAGCTCCCACTGGCCAGCCGGTCGCTCAAGCTCCGGCAGCGGCAATCACCGGAGCGTCGGCAACCAGTTGATAATTGGTTACCGGAGCTTTGGTGGTTAGAAATAATTTTTTTGAAAATTTTTACAACTTTAGTATAACAATTAACCACTTTTGTAACGCTATTAACAACTTCAATATAATAGTTAACAATAGGTTTTCTAGGAAATTCAACAAGCTCTAGCGGTTGGAAACAATTTTTTTGAAAATTTTTACAACTTCAGTATGACAGTTAACAACTTTTGTAATACTATTAACAACTTCAGTATATCAGTTAACAACAGGTTTTTTGGGAAATTTAACAATTGGTCGCCAAAGCTCCAATGGCCGAAAACAATTTTTTTGAAAATTTTATAACTTCAGTATAACGGTTAACAACTTCAATATAGCAATTAACAACAAGTTTTTCAGAAAATTCAAAAAGTAGCATTTTTACAACTTCAGTAACGTCGTTAACAAGTTCTGTAACTCTATTAACAACTCTGGTATGACATTTAACAACAGATTTTCTTAAAAATTCAAAAAAAATGGCATTTTTATAACTTTAACAACTATTTTTTTAAAAAAAAATTTTATAACTTCAGTGTAACGGTTAACAACTTTTGTAACTCTATTAACAACTTCGATATAGCAGTTAGTAACAGGTTTTTCGGGAAATTCAAAAAGTAACATTTTTACAACTTTAGTAATGCTATTAACAATCTCAAAAACCTATTGTTAACTGATATAATGAAGTTGTTAATAGCGTTACAAAAGTTATTAACTGTTATACTGAAGTTGTAAAAATTTTCAAAAAAATTGTTTCCGACCACCGGAGCTTGTTGAATTTTTCAAAAAACCTGTTGTTATCTATTATACTGAAATTGTTAATAACGTTACAAAAGTTGTTAACTGTTGTATTGAAGCTGCAAAAAATTTCAAAAAAATTGTTTCTAGCTGCCGGAGCTCCGACGACCAATTGTTGAATTTCCTGAAAAATCTATTGTTAACTGATATACTGAAATTGTTAATAGCGTTACAAAAGTTGTTAACTATTATACTGAAATTGTAAAAAAATTTTAAAAAATTATTTCCGGCGGCCGGAGCTCCAGCGACCAATTGTTAAATTTCCTGAAAAACCTATTGTTAACTGATATACTAAAGTTGTTAATGGTATTATAAAAGTTGTTAATTGTTATATTGAAGTTATAAAAATTTTCAAAAAAATTGTTTTCGACCGCCAGAGCTTGGGTAACCAATTATCAGCCAGTAAGGGCTTCGGTATTTTAAAAACAATAAATAAAATGAAGGGTAATTTGATCTTTTCATTTGACATGATAATGCCAATTTGGTCTTATGTGACCAAAGTAATATTTTGCAAATTCAGTGGACGTTCTGGTCATTTCCAAGTTAATTTGTCATTTTTTGGTCTTTTTCTCCAAAAAAACGAAATATATTAAAAATTAATAAAAAAAAAAAGTTTTATATATTTTTTATTATATTATTTGTATTCAAAAAAATGTTTTACAAATTTCTTGTTACAAACGATTTATTTTATACTCCATGGACTTAACAGGCGGAAAAAAATCATCAACTTACAATTCCAAATGTGACAAGTTGTTGGACCAAAAAAAAAGTGACAAATTGAGAAAAATTAGTCGCATTGAGAACCAAAGAGGTAAGCTTATTGAGGGGGAAAAAAAACAGAGAGGGAACCAAATAAGTAAAGAGAACCAAAGAAGTAAACAGTGCTATATATTGTACTCTTCCAGTCCTTAATATATGACTTAATTATTAAGTTAATTTTAGTCATAAACATAAGACATATTTCTTATATTTATCAATTTTTCCTAAATTCCTCCCATAGATACTCCCTCAACCATAATCAAGTAAAAGAGGAAGAGAAGATATTAAGAAAAATGATTATGGTGTTTTAGAAAAAAACATGTCATATTTCTTATAATTAACTAACTTACCTAACTTCCTTAATCTAATAAAAATTAGTTAAATAGCTCTCGTATTAAGAATCGGAGGAGTAATTTATTTTAACTGAAAAACGCTTTTATTGGAGTGGAAGGGGAGAAATTATAGGGAAATTTTGGGGTTTAATTAATTATAATTTATAATTCACAATTTCATGAGGAAGCAATGGCTTGTTTATGTCATGACATCGGGGGCCAACTTCAGAAGTGCTGGGGCCTCGGCGTCGGAAGAGAGGGGTCAATGGACAATGTGTGACTCCAAAGCGCACACATTGTTCCATTCTGGGACCACCGCCACCGCCGTCTCTCCTCCATGACAACCATTCACCCCACTCTCTTCCGGCCGCCCTTTGATTGCAAAGGTTTGTCTCTCGCCTTTCAATCCCATTTTTATTTGCCATTCCCAGGAATTTTCCTCTTTTGGCCATCAATGTTCTTATAGAATTCCTTCTTTCCATGTTAGACATGTGGCTGTAGATTCTAGGCTGTTAATGAGATTGTTTGTATTTCTGTGACTTTGGTTGTCACATTAATGTAGGATGTTAGAATATCTCCTGTTCTTTCAAATGAATAATAAAGCATTCCTCCAAATCCACCTCAAGAGGAAGACAAAGTCATTGACATTTATGCTGCTGATTTAGATTTAAGAGAAAGCGTGCCTAATTTGTAATCTTAAGATATGAACGATGATTTTCATGTACGAGGGGACAGCAGACACATAAATTGAAAGGGAACAAGAGACTTGAGCAACGACTTTGTTACAGCATTGATTTTTTTTTTTTTTTGTAAGCTAAGACACCCAATTAAAAAAGGCATTCTACTTTGATCAAACCCTGCTCCTTCTTGCTTGAGCGTATATACAGGCTTCTTACTACTACTATTGGTTGGTAACGGCATCCCTATCCATATCTTTATGCACGAACGAAAGGGAAAGGGTTTCACCCGTTCCCGGAAATGATTATTTTTCTGAGCTTTACTCCACAGGTATTATTTAGAAAGTCTAACCAGTTCCTATTCTTTTTACCGCCCCTGTTTAGTGAAAAGATGGTTTATTCGCTATATAGCGATCATTTCGTATATGACTCTTTTCTTCTCAAGCTATTGGCTTTTTATCAAACTTGATAAGATGAGTCAGTACGTTCCACGGTTAAAGACGAATCCGATCTTTCTAATTATTTCCAGCTTTTAACCACCGGTTTATTATTCAAAACCATGCCAGAGACTCCTCAAATCAGATACTTAGCTGGTCACTCAGGGGGCCTTTGGGAACTTATCCAGCCGGCCCTATCTTCAAGTCAGTCGATTCGAAAGTAGGTTCAGCTTCACTGTAAAATGCAGGTAGAAAAACGCGGATTTAGATGCACCCAATACAAACTATAGCTATTGATATCTCCTAGACTACTACATCGTAGAGTTGCTATCCGGAGTGAAGTAAGTCGGTTGACCCCGGTCTTGTTCGAGTTGTTTTGATATTCCCCGCTCGGCCGAGTGTAGGCCGAAGCAAATGCTTAGATGAGAAGAAGTAAGAGCAAAAGTAAGAACAAGAGGAACAAAGAAGTATCTTCAACTCCTCTAGAGGTTGAGGATGAGGAAGTGATGGGGACGACGATGCTCGTGCAAGATAAGTCGCAATGAAGGAATATCGTCAACGCAGCTGGAGCCGCTAGATCTTAGTAAAAGAGGCCTTCTCGTGGACTACAACAAGGAAAATAAAGAACTAAAACAAAGCAGATTTTATTCATTACTAGCACTAGAAGCATTTTTTTACATGGGATGGGAGTAGATCCAATGGGAAGCTTACACACATAGACCAGCCAAACAACTAAACACAACATTACAACAAAGTAAACAAACAAACAACATATTAAGTTAAAAGAAAGAGAAAAGTAAAAACACAGGACTTATTAGTTATTTCCCCCCGGTCCCCTACGGATGATGGAAGCCGCCCTGATAAGCAGCAAATCACGCTCTCGGATGAGAGCCCTCCTTCGTTCGTCGAGAAGACGAACCTCCGGTACTAATTATAAGACATTGTTAGTAGAGTACAAACAAGATCTTATAATTAATACCGGAGGTAGTAACATGAAACCAGGTAATGAAAGTAACATTTGAAGCGAAGTTAACAAATTAAATTGAAACAATAAGATTACTTAATGCTAGGAAAAAAATTAAATAACAATAAAGGACTAATTCAAAAGTAGAGAAAGTTAACATGTAATGCTAATAGGGGCTTCATTCTAAATGCAACTAGTTAGTTGATCCGACCACCACAAATTGGACGGGGCTCAAATCATTGTTATGTACCCTTACGCGTTTATTGAGTTCCCTGCTACAAAATACATTTTCCAAGTGTTTTCTTCCCCCCTTCTCTCCATCTACATCTACAAGTAGCAATCTTATGCCCCTGGATTATGTGCAAGGAACAGGTTTGAGCTCTTCCTAGAATATGTAACAAGTTCCTGTTTAAAATGATCTATATTTGCGATGATGAATCCATCAAATATTGCGCGAGTCATATTTGGGGGCCTTTGTCCTGCAGTCTGCACCTTGAAGGAAATAGCTCAAATGTTATACACAGAGCAGTGGAACAAATCATGATGCAAGTCAGATATGTCTTCTTGCTCTTGTCTGATATAAACAAAGGAAATGAAGGAATCAGTAAAGCAGGGAATGATTCCTAAGGAAGGGTTATCGCAGGGGAATTGGGCTACTGCTGTATTATCTACAAAGCTTGATCTGAAATTTCTTGGACGATCGATTTAAGGCTTTGTTGCCTTAGAAAATCTAAGTTAAGCCACAACGGAAAACATGATAATAATTCATAATTTTTCCCTGTTTACATTATGTTACATTTCAAGTGTGCACACATCATTATCGGTTCACAACCTAGATTGATGCAATGAATATTTTCACAGAGAAATTTCGTGCCTCTTTTTTTTTTTTTTATGTTCTTTTCTGTTGAATGGTACTTAATGCAGATGATTTATGCTCAGTGTTCATGTTGATATATACAGATTGGGAATAGGTATTGAGTGCTTCCCGGGTTCATTTTTAGCATGAAAACCGGAGCAGAGAACGATGGCTGGCCATCTGTTGTGCACCTTCATGTCCTTAAAAAGTCAGAACCCCGCTTTTGCATATTCCAAAAGGTGAAATCGGTTGACGACGATCCAGAGAATGTTCCTGTCTATCTCAATGTGTATGATTTGACACCCGCAAATGGTTACTTGTACTGGGCAGGCCTTGGTGTTTTTCACACTGGGGTTGAAGGTCAGTAAACATTCAAAGCCTCCTTAAATAACTTCCAAAATTATTATTTTTTGGCAAAAGTATGCACCAAGATTTTGATTCAAACTACACTAGGTAGAATTTACATCATAATTCTACTCCTAAAGGAAGGGCTTTACTTTCCAGCCCTCTATCTATCCAGCTTTTCACTTTCATGGCTCATATGTCAAACTCATTATAGTAGCCTGTCTGTGCTTGTATTTATCATTGACACATAAGCAACTTCTCTTTTTCCCTAAATTACATCTTCAGACTTTGTTTGGAAATAAAATTTCTCATATCACCCTTGGGCACTCAAATTAGGTTTTGTTGCACCTATTCTTCCCCTTATGACTTAAATGTCAAAAAAAAAATTATCTGGATGCCATCAATATTTTCTGAAATTGTCATAATGCCTCAGTCTATGGAGTGGAGTATTCCTTTGGAGCCCATGATTGTCCTACTAGCGGTGTCTTTGAGGTTGAACCTCGGCAGTGCCCAGGATTCAAGTTTAGGAAGTCAATATTCATGGGAACGACGAATATGAATCCATTCAAGATTAGAGAATTCATGGAGCATCAGTCAGCTAACTACCACGGTAATACTTATCACTTAATGATCAAGAACTGCAACCATTTCTGTGCGGATATATGCCAAAGGCTCACGGGAAATTCAATACCTAAATGGGTCAATCGCCTTGCAAGATTAGGTACATGACATGCATTCACACACTATCCATTTTAATGTTCAAACTTTCAATTGCATTATTTTCTATCAGTAAACACATCACAGGCATCTCAGAATTATTCTGGAATTCAATGACTGATTCATTGTTCTATGTCATCCTCGTAGGTTCTGTATGTAACTGCTTACTCCCTGATGCCCTCAAAACTTCGACCTCTCAAGAGGATCCCAACTTTGAAGGGCGTGATAATAAGAAGAAAACCGCTTTTAGCTGTTTGTCATCAATATCGAGGCCCCAGAAGCTCCAGAGGAAAGAATCCAAGTCTCCATTAATTCAACACTCTCGAAATAGAAGTTTCCTACGAGCATGGAAGTCAAGAAAGAGTTCACGCAAGGAAGGATGAAATTCTCTTTAGTTCTCTTTCTAGGAAATTGGAACCACTGTTAAATGAAGAAAACGTTCTTTACTCTAGGAGTGCAGAATTGTCTGTCAAAATTTCTTTTCATTGTTTGAGCTCAATGGCTCCTCCTGGCTAATTCTGCCCTTGTCTGGTGAAGAACTTGCGGGATGTATTTCTGTGCCAGTTCCGCGCAGGCTCAATGACAAAAACAACTCTTTGTAGAAATGTGAAGTAAGTGGATGATCACGGCAAGCTTAGATATGTCAACAATAAGTTAAGCTACACATATGACGCCCATTTTGTTCAAAGGCAGCGCAAAGCGAGGAGCACTTCGATCACAGCGTAAAACAAAGAATAAAATGACAGCACCAAGGTGTCAAAACTCAGAAGACTAATAGAGAAGTAAAAACAACAAAGAAGTTACACATATTAGCAAAAACCATGGAATTTTCACTTGCTATGTTTTTGAGATGCAGCATTATGTACTTGGATTCCCAAATAAAATGATTGTGGTTAAGCTATTACATACTGTCGATTCCTGGACTTTAACAAATATACTGAGGTGACGAATTTGAGCTATATTTCCATTTTTAACTCGACAAGCTTTGACCTGTTCACTAGACATTTTAAAACAAAATTTTCTCCTTAGCCTGAGACGTGGCTGCAATTTATCTATTCATGTAAAATTACAATACAAAGTAAATATCTCTAGCAACTACTAGTATAATTTTAACATGCCAAGAACCGGAATATTTTCCCACCTTCTAAGCAAATCGAAGAGAATCGGTCCAATTCATGAGAACAGAAAACATATGAACTTACCAATTATTACAAAAATTTATATTCGTCATGGTCAAACAATAGTTTCCTGTATTTCCTATCGTGTACAAATGTACTTTGATATAATATTAAAAAAAAATCAAAATCCTATTAAGCACTTAGAGCTAAATAATAGCACATTAGATTAATGAGGAGAAATTTATAAAATAATTCGTAATATCGAGAAAAACATCAACCTAACAATACAAGCGCACATCAACAATGTCTAAATAGTATCTTTTTTCTTTTTGTCCTTTTGCCACTGGTAACAATATCGTCGAAACTTATCATAAATAATTACCAGCAATTATTAGACATTAAAATACAATTGACTGTTAAACACACCAGTCTCCGCCAAACATAATGTCGAAAACATAAAGAAAACAGAGAAATGAAGCTACTAGCACACGTTTTAGATCTTTCATTCGGGATTTCTGATTAGAAAACAGTTGTCACTGGCCGATCAACTTTAATTATGTTCATAAGACATTTGAAAACTTCAAAACTACGAATAATTTTTCATCATTTTGTCGTCTGTTGATGACATCCATGATGATGTCGCTCCTAAGCTAATTGCTTCAAAAATGAATTCTCTAATTGTATTTGCTTCAAAGCGCGGCGATGACATGACATTGTGAGGGATGCAGTTTTCGTTGACCACGAGACTTTAACTTAGAGAAAATTAGGCTTCCGATTTGTACCATTGATAATTTCTACTTAACCAACAAGGATTAACATGATCGAGTGGCTTAAACGCAGCGTCATTGAATCTGATTTGTGCTAGTAATTCTTATGAATAGATATTTACCAATTGCAATGCGGACTGGTTCAAAGATGAGGCAACATATTCCTTCTTAAAATTTGGGTTTGTTAAGGTGAAATTTGGTCCCCCGGAAGCAACTACGTTTGATGTGGCGAGGGGTAGGTATAGATAAGTACTGCTACACAATCCTACATCTGCGAATTAGAGGTCTTAACAAGACAATAATTGCATGGAAATTAGGAGTTTAAAAATCATAAAAGCTATATCATATTTGGAATAAGTTATTTCATATTTCAATTAAGTATGTTTGAATATGTCAATGAAAACGACAATAAGCGAGGTATTGCAATATCCTACAAATTTATAATACTATTTTCGAAGAAAATATATTCGTTGGAATCTGTCAAAGAAAAGGAAGTTTTCCATTTTCTTTTCTATAGTTTCTGCTAAAAGCATCATGTAAGACCGCATCCCATATTCTTTGATTCTTCGCCCATATCCATTGTCTCCTTTGGCTGCCTAGTTTTCTTAAGACCAATGTTCATGCCACGTTTCGCTCTCGTCATGAGCGCAAATTTTAAATTATCCTCATAATTCATCCTAACAGCTCATAAATATGAAGTCAAACACAAGCTTGTTTACGTAATTTATCTTTCCTTTTTTATATGTAAGCTACGTTCTGTATCCTATTGTCGCAGAGCATAAATCTAAGAGTTTCAGATAACAACATCTGATTCAGTGTTAAAAAAATCACAACAATGGGGAAAGGAGGCGGGTGTGTACCTAGCAAGAAGAAGGCGCCCATTTCTGGTTCGAAGAAGAATGATCCAGTTTCAGAGAGCATCGAAACCCAATCGCGAGTAACGGAAACGACAACAATCGCAGTCCGAGAAGCGCCGATCGAAGCAGAAACGAAGAAGCTGAGGGTTTTCATAGTGTATTACTCAATGTACGGTCACGTGGAGTCACTGGCGCGGGAAATAAAGAAAGGCGTGGATTCCGTAGAAGGAGTGGAGGGCGTGTTGTACCGAGTGGCAGAGACGCTACCCAAGGAAGTGCTAGAGATGATGAAGGCGCCGCCGAAGGACGATAGCGTTCCGGTGACAACGGCGGAAAAATTGGTGGAGGCGGATGGGGTGATATTCGGGTTTCCGACGAGGTTCGGGAGCATGGCGGCGCAGATGAAGGCGTTTTTCGATTCGACGGGGCAGCTATGGAGGGAACAGAAGCTGGCGGGAAAACCAGCTGGCTTCTTTGTGAGTACCGGCACACAGGGCGGTGGCCAAGAAACGACCGCGTAAGTGTCCCATTCGCGTCGTTTAAGCAGTGAACATGATTTATTATTTTAAATAAACGCTTGTCATTTAATTTTTTATTTTTCTCTCAATTAAAGATAACAATCACTCTTATAAATTCAAATCATTTGTATAAACTTAAAATCTTGCTGCTAAAATGAGAATTTTGTTAATAGATAATTTATATCGGTATCTTTGTGACCGATAGTTTAACCGTGATGCATCAACTGTTTTGTTTAAAGAAAGAACTTTTATTGTTGCTGTTGTAGGTGGACGGCAATTACACAGTTAGCGCATCATGGGATGATATATGTTCCAGTGGGATATACATTAGGAGCTGGAATGTTTGAAATGGAATCAGTTAGAGGAGGGTCTCCCTATGGTGCTGGGGTTTTTGCTGGGGATGGAACCAGGCAAGCTACTGATAAAGAGCTTGCCCTTGCTGAGCATCAGGGCAAGCATATGGCTACAACCGTCAAGAAATTGTCTCTCACTTCCTAAATTTGTTTGTACCCTCCAATAAAAGAAAAATCATATCCCAATCAATGTTTTGTTTTTAATGGTCGTGTTGAGGTGTGGTTTGAATCTATTGGCCTATGCCGGGCTGAAGAGGAAAAATTATTGGCCTATGCCGGGCTGAAGAGGAAAAATTCATGATCACCTTGTAAACTTCGTCCGTGTGAATTATGGATTCTTTAAGGTTATCCTTTTATCAACAGTTCAGCATGTTGAAGTTGGGTCAACTCCCTCGACCCAAAAAGTAGTCTCAATTTCATGGCATTGAGATGTGACTCTAAGGAGCATCATTTGTAGTGAAACTAAATAGTCATTTAATAGGCATTTAATCTGAATGATCATGAGAGGCATTAAAGCGTAGCTAAGGAGCAGTATCTTTTAACTGGAAGAAAAGAAACATGGTTAAACCTGAAACTGGAAGTGTGATAATAATTAGGGAACCCCAAGAAAGACTGTTCCACCATGCTTGATCCTGTAAATATTGTAAGAACTCCTAATATTTGTTTTGATTCCAATGGGTTCTCAAAGTTCATTCTACCAAAATTTTAACTAACCAGAAAGAAAATTGAGAACTTGAATTTTGGTTTCTTTGTCTTTAGTTACGGGGTCATCACTATTCATCCAGATCGCTCATTTAACCGGACGATAGGCAAGCTAAACGATCAAACATGTCATTGTCGTGTCATAGACGCTCAAGGTCAGTACTTATGGTTGTTTCATCATCAATAAAGCCGGTAAGTCTGTGTGGGAATGTTGTTCGGCTGCAGCATAGTTCAATTTGTCTGGTAAAATCGAGTTTCATGTCTTAGGCCCCGGCCTGGTTATGAAGAAAGGGGTGCAAATGGCTGCACATATGGGAGTAAAGCATGTCGTTTTTCAATCTAACTGTCTGTCCCTAACTGAAGCTCAGGCTTGATCTTTGATACTTAACAATTAGTATCATTTAAGCAAAGTCTTTTTGATTCAAATCTGTTTCTTGATTTCTTCGATTTATCTTTCAAAACTTCAGAAACGCACAATTTGGCACTAGACCCAATCCTGTAGATGACAAGTAAGATTAGGCACAAATAGATGTTGCGACTTGTTCGAGGCCATTATCAAAACAGTAGAAAATCAATTTGATAGGCACGGAGAATCGCTAGCTACTTTTGCCAACCTTCAAGGCAAGATGCACCATTTAATTTTGCAATCGATGCTCTTGCTCTGCTAATTGGCTTTGTGTTAATAAAGCATATGACAAAAACCTCTAGATGGATAACATATTGCTACTTCAAGCAGTGTATTGAACTAAATACCTCAAAACTAATCCAAATTCCTCCCCAAGAATGGTGTTAAGGAAAGATCCTATGCATATAACCTTCTGGAAAAAAAGTATGAATACAAAGTAAAAGAATTGAACTGTTCTTGTCCTACTTGATTCGGATCCGTCCAAGTTTAATGCGACCCTCACAAAATCGTTTAGCACGTATAAAATAAAAAAATTAGGAGAACCCAGAAAACAAAGCACTGTTGAGAAAAGAGGGAAAGATGACTCTATTTCAACCTAAAACCACGAAGCCATCAACTAGAGCTTGAAAGGAGATTGTTCCAGCAAAAACCTCCATTTTCTTTTATGTTAAAAGATATATAATTGTAGGAAATAGTGAGTAATAAGTGAGAAATGTATGGTAAGAGTTACTAGTAAACGCCTCGAGATAATCAGATACAGGCATTTATCAGCGAAACTACCAGTATCAGTTTCGGCCTCCGATGAATCAGAATAAGCACCAGAAGAAACCAACCCTCAAGCTTATCTGGGATTAAGAAGGCCAATCGAAGACATTCGTGGAACGATGTAAAAGGCAGAGGAACATCTCATTGCCAATAGAACCCAGAATTATTACATTTCGCTACGAGCCCTTCAAATGTAATCAGCCGCTTGGCTGCGCTTTGGCCTGTGGGCGTCTGCCCCTGTGTATATATAGTGCACACAGCAACATGAACCTCATCGTTTAAAACCCTAATACTCGCTTTTGTATTAGGTCCTTGGATTTAATAATATTTCTCCTCTTTCCCCACAATTTGGGATTAGGTCCTTAGATTTAGGGGGTGTTTGGATAATATCAAAATCATGGTTTCAGAAGTGCTTTTACGGTATACGAAGCAAATATGTGGAGGAAATTGTCTCGATTTGCGGAAATGTGTTTCTGAAAAGTGATTTTAAGGGCATCCAAACACCCCATTAATAGTGTATCTCCTACTACCTTTTCACTTTAATAAAAAAACTAGTTAATTAATTTAAATAAATTAAGAAATTAGTTAAATTGGTTATTTATATTCCTTAGATCATAAATATAAAACTCATTTTGTAGTTACACTAAATAGATATTGTAGTTAAATTGGTCTTATATTTAGAATCGGATAAGTAATAAATAGATATTGGCTTTTCTAAAATATTCTTATTAATCAAGTGTGTTAGCTAGAACTACTATTATTATAAGGATTACTTTAAAAAAAAGTAAATATAAATGACAAAATAGATTGAGGTCTCATATTTAAGATTAAAATAAAAATCCAATAAGTTCTTATATTAAAGATTGGATGTATTATTTCCCACCATGCTTATCATTGTGACCATGATCCCTAAATTCAAGAAGGTGGGAACTTAAGGCTTGTTTGGTGTGAGACACTCGGACATGGGATTGACATGATTTTTCTAAATATAAGATTTATTTTATAATATAAATTACGTTATAAAATAAGTTTTATATTTAAAACTTGAAGAATATTTAGTGTGACACACTGAATAATACTCCTCTGATTCTAAATATAAAACTCTTTTTGTAGTGTAAATTATACTATAAAAGAGATCTTATATTTAGGATTGGGGGAGAATTTAAGATTATGCACTGCCAACGAAATGGAATTATGCCAGGCCACTTAGATAGAAATAAAATACCACCACTCACTTTTTTTTTTTTTGGCCTGACACCACTCACGGTATTACTATTGAGAGATCAAGTTTTGGTTTGCCTATTATAGCCAACCAGTGCATATTTTAGGATTGCATATTTTCTTAACTAACTTGTGCCCCCAGTGTTTCTCGAATTCCTATTCTAGCCAACCCCAACCCCAAACCCAACCAAATCCATCTATTGATTTATTCCGATCTCTAAACGCCACATCATCCCTAATTAATTACTATATGATGGGTATATGGATTAATATTTATAATTAAAGAAAGGATAAAAGTGTTATGAATATAATAATATCTTTATAAATACCCATATATCTCCAGTTATCTCCTATATTTCCTATAATCTCCCATTATCTCTATATTCCACAGTTATCTCTTATTATTATGTGATCTGTAGATTCTATCAGAAATATAAAGATGTGCCTATAAATAGAGGTTATATATAATGTACTGAGTACTTTTGAATAAAATGAGAAATACTCTCTCTTATTAATCCTCTATTCTTTTATATTATTTTTTTTATTTCTTTTTTATTTATAACAAAAAGTACGTTAAGATTTTATTTGCGAGTTACACTCAACATCTTAATTTTTTTAATGCTGCAATTTTACGCATGGTCTGTTAACTTGGATGCAATTTCTCCATTGTTTCAATTTCCTAATGTGACTATAATTCAATTACATTGAAAGTTGTCAATAATTTGATAAAAGAACCAAAATTATTAATTTTACCTATTAAGATGAATAAAAGGAAAATGATTATTTAAAATAAATAAAAAAGGGAGGGATTACACCAAATTTAAAAGACTGCGAGTAAAATTGCACAACTAAAAAAATTATGATAGTGAGTGATGCTAGTCACTATCTATGTTCTTTAATATGAAAGATAGTTGACTAATATAAATAAATTAAAAAAATTTGTTAAATTAATTATTCGTGATAAATAGGTGTTGTCTTCTCTAAAATACTCTAATTAATCATGTGCATTAACTATAACTATTACTTGATAGAACATTTAATATGTGCAACTATTATAATGACTGTTTTAGAAAAAAATAGATAAATATGAAAGCTAAAATAAATTAAAATCTTATATTTAAGCCCAAATTAAAAATCAAACTAATTCTTATATTAAGAACCGGATGCAGTAATTCCCTTTAAAGTTAAATAATGAAAGTTATGATCTGGTACTTTGTAACAATGGGAGTCCCCGTTTAGTTCAGTGATTGTAATTTAACTTAGTAGCTCCCACGTACAGAAGAACCGCATCACTGGGATGCCAGACGATAGGTTAAGCTCCTAAGATTGATGAAAGCTTGTTTTTTTTTTTTTTTGGTCAGAAGGATGAAAGCTTGTTTATCTAACTAATGTATTATCTAACTGTAATTCTGCTGGCATTGATTATTGAATACTTTTGGATGAGTTTGAACCGGGACGCAATTTTCACGTATTGTCTATTGATATTAGTATATTGATAATACAGATTATAATTAACTTTTCCTTTACATTTGGATTCGTAACTGCAGTCTAGCTTTCATAGAAAAATGCATAACCCTTCCTTCACAACGAAGTATGGAAATTCAGCGAGACAAAGGGAGAGAGAGTACACGATCCTGTAAAAAATGCTTTCAAATTTTAATGTATTCAGCTTGAGATCTAATTGCAAGAATTTTGAAAATTTTAATGGCTTATTGTTATTCCATGGCCAAAAAAAATACTCCTCCGGTCCTTATTATAAGACCCCATTTGACTTTTATTTGGTCCTAATTATAAGACCCCAATCCATTTTGTCTCTTATATTTATACATTTTTTCCAAGATAATCCTTCTAATAATATAGTTTTAGCCAATATACTTAATTAGCAAGGATATTTTAGGAATGACAACACTTATTTATTATAAATAACCAACTTAACTTACTTCCTTAATCTCCTCAAATAAGTCAATTGGGTCTTATAATTAGGACCGGAGGAGTACTTAGAAGTATTTTCTTTTATCCCTGCTTTTTTTTTAACCTTAACTTTCACACTTATGTGATGGAAACAAGTTTAGAAGGAGAGTCCAATCCAAAAGAATAACACATTAGGAGAGAGAATTTCTTGAATTTATAAGTCCTACAATACTTATAAGTGGGGTTGCACAATGAACCAACAGGATTGGACCAAAATCTAACTCAAAGTCTATTTTGATTTTTAGTTGGATTGGATTGGATTTGGTAGTCTGTTGTTTGGTCTAGCTTAGTAGTAACCTGAGACCGAGTTAGATTGAACTTGATCTACCAAACTAGTAGACTGGTCCGGACAGTAGAGAACCCCAATTTTCTTTTTCTTTTTTTAATTTCTTTATAGAAAGCATGATTTCAACATGATAGACAATAAAAAAAACCTATAATCATATAAAACTTATCCTAAAATATTAAAAGATCAGGGATACTTCCAGCAAGAAATATATCGAAGAGTTTGTGCTAGGCTAGCCGAAAATCAAAGTTTATCAAAAGCTTGGTCTAAAATTCCCGAAAAATTGGCCTTTTAAATACATAAGAATCTCTAACAACATTAAAAACCATTAGAGATAACATTTAAATTACAAATTATTGAAAATAAAAAAAATACCTATATTGGATTAGACCAATCCAGATAGTCTGATCACTTGGTCTAGAACCCAATCTAACATGACCTAGTGTAGTCCAATTTCATTATATAGTTTATTTAGACTAAAATGGATTGAATCAAACTATCTCGAGTTAGATTGGACTAGATCGAAACATTGGTTTTTTACATACTCCCAAAGTATTTTCAAGAGTTTCAACTTATAACTTTGCATTTAAAGAAGATTTTGGGGAAATTTAGTACTATTGGACTATAATACTCTCAAACAGCCCCATAATTAGCAAAGCATGATGGAGCGAAGCATTCCCCCCCCCCCCCCAAACAGCCAGACTGGAGCCTCCTCCCCCCCCCCCCTCTCCTTCAGCAGCTAGACTATAGCTCAGGCCGAGGGAAAAGACGCAGAGTTCCATATCCTTTCCATAGTAACGTAAAAGAAGCCAGAGTAGATCAGATTTTGAATGAAATCTCCATTCATGTATCACAATTAAACTGAACAAAACACATAACATGCACCAGAGTGTACATGGACAGAGTCACAACAAGGCCTGGACTTCGCCATTTATCACGTTCGTGACAATAATAAACTCTTATCTCGTAACAACTTTATTATCTTCATTAATTAAGATGATTACTGAAGAAGTACACTTGCTGATTTTGAAAAATCAAAACCAAACAGATCCACAATCCAAATCATGAGCAGAGAAAAAACAATAACTGAGTTGGTCACTTGGTCATCATCAGCAATGCCAAGCATGGTCCACAATCTTGCACAGAGCAGGGAGAGCCATGGCTTGTTTAGGATCAATGTTATAGAATCTGAGGAGAGTCCTTTGGTTTTTGAGACGGCAGAGGCATTTAAGGTCCGCGCCGGAGAGGGCAGAGCAGCAGTCGGAAGTCGGCGGCACCTGAGGCTCATCGCCGCTCACCGACGGCCGGCAGTCCATCAGCCCTTGTGCACTCACCCCACACAAGACGCCGTCATCACCACTCACCATTATGGGATCTGACCCCATTATAATGGCCAGAGCCAAAACCAGCCCCACAACCACAAGCTTCTTGCTCAATCCTGCCATCCCTAGGCTCTGTAGTTTCCAAGCTCTATTTAACTACCTCCCTTGCCTGTGACAATAGTGGAGAACTGTTTGGTTTATATAGAATCAATGTAGAGGT